CATTTGCAAGCAGCTGCTTGACTATTATGGCCTCTTCAGTGTCCAGTGAGTGTGCTTTTTCTGCAGCTGCTGAAATAATCACAAAAAGGTGCAGGTGGAGATGTTGTTGAAGCTATTCAGGTGTTGATGACACTCAGCTGCCAGGAATTAATTTCCCATGAGCCAGGGCCATCCTCAGCAACCGAGTTATCCTTAGAGAAAGCTGAGGACAATGGTATTGATGAAATGACTGTTGAGAAGCATGATGATGGACTTGGAGACTTAATTTTAGGTATTTCAGACAATGAGAACCATTGGGATTTGGATGAATAAGTGTCTTTTACTACAGTAATTGTTGCAACACAATAAAAAGTTAATTTGTCACTGTTTTTTACTGTCTGATCAATCCTGATAGCTTCATTGAGTAGAAAACTGACTGCTCCAATTTTTTATGTACATAGGAAGCAAAATACACGATTTTATAGTGAAAGCCCTGGCCTAGGCCAAAGCCAAGCCCGAGCCCTCAAAAGCCAGGCCAAAGCCAGGGCTTTCAGGCCAAGCCCGGCCCTGCACAACACTACCAGTACCTAGCAGATCATCCCTTTTTATACCCTCATCACCCGAATGGAATCTCCCACTGACGGTAACCACACGTCCGTGGACGGAGCAGAGGAACTGGTGTCCCAGATCACCCAACTGTACGACGATCTCGAATCTTTTCACAATGACGACGTACACTCCAGCGCTGTGCCCGCGCACATGTTGTTATCTCCCATGTCTCATTTTTCCCATAACCCGCATAGTACCTCTTCCCCTCATCCGTTCGTCACGATGGAGTGCCCACGTCTAGCTGGCCTGGGTTCCATGCTAGGTAGACCATCCCTATCACCAGTCGCAGAGGAACAGCCTGCGGCTAGCAGCCCGTTCTCATCCTTCTTTGCTCGAAGGCCTACAGGGAACCACAGTCTTCTCTCGGGGTCCATTACGCTACCCGTGGGCTAAGCCTCTTCCAGTAGGGCCGAGACAACTGCTCAGTCTCCCACTGAGTCGACGCATGTGCAGCAGTCCTCGTATACTAGGCCACCGACTGCGCCAGACCTTCAGTCTAGGGCCGCGCTACCATGCAGCCTGCCCCAGGCTCCCGTCCCGCCTTCGCAGCCCACCCAGCAGTTGCAGCCTATGAGCGCCGAGCAACTCTACCAGATCCTCCATCAGCAGTTCAGCTCCGGCCCATCGGCTACCACGGCTATCCCTACCATACCTCCACAGCCACCTCAGATGTCTGCAGCTCCCCCACAACAGCCAGCTTATGCACAGCAGCCTTCGCGTACCGCGCCGACGGTTCAACCACAGGCAGCAGCCACCTACATGCAGACCCCATCTCAGTCACACGCGCCTGCCGCCCAGCAGGCCGCTTCGCACCAGGCACCAGGACAGTTCACCAATGCGAGGGCACTCCCTAGGCACCCTAGCACAACTCTGGGCCTGTCCATGACTGGCGGTTGTGAGGCGATGATGTTTCTTGCACCCTGTCCAAACAAGATCCAAGCTGTAAAACTCGAGCTACATCACGCAAAGCACATCCCCAAACTGAGTAGGGCGGCTGGCAACTGGATGGAATGGAGTGAGAAGATTGTCAGCTTCGTCAACGCGAGCACAATGGTTGGTTTCATCAAGGGGTGGACCACGATGCCGGACCCGGACGTCGACTACAACGCTGCGGCCGAATGGGTGAAAGCCAACAATGTCATCCTCGCTCTCATCAGGGAGAAGTGTACTGCTGAAGAACGCCAACACATCACCTATATGGAGACGGCGTTTGAGGCATTCCACCTACTCAAGTCTTGCCACGAAGAGCTGGGACCTATCTACATGGTTCGCCTCTATCAGCGCTTCTTCGATTCCCATTTCTCCCGCTCCGAACGCTTCGAGACAACAGCAAAGCGCATCCGGGACATGGCCCACCAGATCTACGCCATGGGTCCCCTGAGCGAAGACCAACTCTTCTCGATAGGTCTGATGCATGCACTGGGGCGCGAGTTCCCAACAATTCGCAACGAAGTTGCAATGCAAATGACCGCCATGCGCCATGGCGGACATTTCAACTCCAGCTCAGTCCTTCAGCGCCTCGATATCGAGCAAGCGGCAGTCGACCTCGACAGCGGAGCAGTCGCTTTAGCGACCATAGCAGGGCGACGTCCTAGCGGCAACACAATGTGCAACAGCTGCCAGCGCCCTCACCCGACGGCCAACTGCTGGGCTAGGGGGGGCGCGATGGAAGGACGCCGCAATGAGGTGTTGGACACGCTGTCCCCAAACAAAGTCAACTGCATGTGATCTAGCTGTGTCACGCAGATTTCCTAGCCCTCCTGTACTTTATCTTATCTATAACCCATTCCCATTCCCTGTGTACCCCGGCATTATTCCCAGTTTGAGCAGCTCGAATATGAGCAGATCACCACGAGTTTATTGAATGTTGTCGCAACTTTCACAAAGATATCAGCATTATCCAACTGAAGGACTTCTAAGTCGACAGCCTCCACCCCGTCAACCTATTTGCCCCATGTCCACCAGCTCTTTCTATCCATGGCCACGTCTATCCGAACCCAGTACATTCCTATCATGTGGCAGGGTCTTATAGGCCTTATCTGATCGCTTCCACCGCTCGAGGAAAGAGAAGAGGCCAGAGATCATTGCAGAAGTATGAGGAGCATGGGTGGGACAAAAGTATATGTGAGTAACCCATAGCTTTCTATTCCGAAGCTCTCCTCATATACTAGGCAAGTTATTATGCCGGCTGTGGTTTTTATTTTGACTAAGACCCCAAAACCCCTCGCGACTTGCCGCCGGACTGCCGTACCTAGCCAGACCAGCGTGATTGCTGGACTTCCGGTTTCAACACTGTCCTCACAGATGTGCAAACAACAAAATCATACCAAAATAGAATAAATATACAAATAACACTCATAAATGTTCTCATTAACTGATATCCCTTGTAATGATATTCTCACTTTGGGATAAGGTTGAGAGAATCATTTGACCCAAAATAGTGCAATATTTATGTTTTCTGTTCCAGAACACAAATAATGTCCACCAGGCCACCTACCTGTTGAACTTGTTGAGGTGGACAGGCGGAATTTAATTAATAACTTTCCATGCCACCATGAACTTAAGGTCATAATGGTACAGTACTCAAAGCTACAGAGTGAGCTACAATCTATTGGAGACCATGGGAATATACATTGGAGGGAGTGTGTGAGCTAAGATAAGCTAGAACAAGGATAAACAAGAAGCTAAGTATAATAATAGGAAAGTATGACAAGATAGGAAGAAGTGCGAAGCTATAGAGACCATGGAAAAGTAGGTCATAGGGAGCGTAGCAAAGCAGAAGGGGAACGTAGAAGTCTGGAGGTGAATGGAGGCAACTGGAGGTCAGGATGAATGACATGAAGGTCAGCAGGAACAATCCAAAGATCCAGGAGAGGTGTCAAGGCGACAAGGCACTGAGGTGCAAGTCCCAAGTACGAGTCCTAGTGTGTGCTAAGCACATTGGAGTGGAGTGAAAGTCTTGGAAGACATCCGGAGGATGGGAGGATATGGAAGAGGACCAGAAGTGACTGGAGGTGGAACAGAGTGTCCCGGAGATGACATGGAGTTGGCATGGAGTTTAGGACTAAGAAGCCTGGAGCATAGATGACACATAGAAGTGCAAAGAGAATAGAGATGAGGATTAGGAAGGCATAATTGTAGTCGATATTCAGACTGGAGAACTATGGTAAGTACAGGAAGGCTTATATACTACTAGTAAACTATGAAGTCATCAAGGAAGGGCAGAGGGTGAGTACTGTAGGTACAAATTGACAAAGGTGGCTGAAAGAATGACATCACTAACAATAGGGATACTATGAGGTAGTGACAAAGGAATAGGGCAAGGAGAAGTGATATGAAGACATGAGGATAATGGGAGGCCTAAGGAGTGATGTCAGAGACATGCAACATACATGCTCTAGTGGACAAGGGTAAAGGGTTGCATGGAGAGGCCTGGAGGTAATTACAGTATAGCTCTGACATTCCGGAGGTATAGGGAGATATCCTCGGAGGTGGGTAGAGGATGGGAGCATAATCTAGCATAATGGATAATGTCGCAATTGCTCATGACAGCATGACTACATCATGACCACTTACAATTATCCTACACCTCAAGCCAGAATGTCTTAGCAGCACTTCACATTTTACTGCTCAATGGATCATGTGACCTCTGGCTACTTCAATTGCCATTCACATGATTAGCTTGGTTACTTTACAATAATGAATTACATAATCATTCTCTGACATTCCTGGACGCATCAGTATTTTCACAACGAGCTTGTTTGAGCTTGTACAAGTTGAAAGTCCACAAGTCGCTCAGAGCAACCAGAAATCTCACAAGTCGGCGCAGTCGGTGATTGATGATCTCCATCACCAAATATTTTTACTATTTAGTCAGTGAATACACGGTTATTAGTCCTAATGAAGTCAAGTGTGAGAAAGCAAGACAAGTGTGGCCGCAAATCAAAATAAATTCTTACACGGCTCAAACTTGCAACCTCTGGAAACTTATGCCTAATGTAGGCACTACTTGCCTGTTGCACCACAACACTGTTATAACCTTGGTTAACGCAGATCTTTATAACCACATACTTTCGGACTTAGACAAAGTTTGCCACTGTTGCGTCAATCTTCATGTCTATCTATGAATCCCAACCCAGAATTCTGGTAACAGGTAACCTGAGTAAAGCTCATTGGGAGCTATTTAATTATAAATTTCCTCATGTACAGTACAAGCACTGTCTGGTTGCAGACCAAGGATATGCAACTAAGCACAGGGGAGGCTCAAGATCGCGAAAATGTCGAAGTCTGAAAGTATGTTGCTATAAAGATCTGCATTAACCAAGGTTATAACAGCGTTGTGGTGCAACAGGCAAGTAGTGCCTACATTAGGCATGAGTTTCCAGAGGTTGCAAGTTCGAGCTGCATCGGAATTTATTTTGATTTGCGGCCACACTTGTCTTGCTTTCTCACACTCGGCTTCATTAGGACTAATAATTGTGTATTTCCTAACTAAATGATATAATGCCATGTAATATAAACTTGCATTGGCTTGTTGACTTGTGAACCAGGGGAAAAGTGCAAACAAGCTCAAAAGTCCAACCAGACAGGTGTGGAATCGCTGATGCATTCCATATGATGTCACCAACTTGTCATACACATGTCATACATGACATCACACATACATCACTTATTTACCATTAGTAGTATTATATGGCACAGCATGGTCTGTGCATTCACAGTTATTACCATACATAGCACTTTGTTTGCCTTATGCAAACAAACCTGTACAGTATATAGTCTGACAATAATGGGCTACAAGACTCTAAGTGAGTTCTTGTAGGAATCCCCTCCAAGCAAGTACACCTAGTTGTGCTCGTTGCGTGCACTTCCATTTCTCCTCTAAGTTGTGCTTCACAGCGCCCACTCCCCTTTTGTCATTGTCAGTTAGTTTGTTGGGTTGGTCCTTGGGCTCGCGCCTTGGGGGTCGCTCACAGATAAGACACTGGAAAGTATGGGAGGATGATAGGATCTTATAGTGTGATGCTCTGGTGCTCCAAAGTGTGGGAAAGTATCTTCAGAGCTCCATAGGAGTATGGAGTGCATTGTAGGAGGATTGTAGAATACAGGAGGTGGATCAGAGATGTCTGGAGATTCATCACAAAAAGTGTGCAGAAGTTGTAGCACAAGACCGTGCCTTACCTGCGGTTATAATGGTCGCATCAGCTATTGTATTACAAGATAGTCACCGTGTACTAGAGTTGACCTCTCATTTCTACAGTATGTTGGCCTTACAATCATCCAATATATCAAACGTGATTGTTGTAAGGCTCACCGTGTAGACAACAGCTCACCGTGACGACCATGGCTTACCACAACAACCACAGATATCATTGTTGACAACAACTTGCCATTCCCATCATGTTATATGTATTCCGTCATAGCTTATCACTCTGACATATGCTTACATCTCAAACAATATGAGTTTATCCAACAAAGTCCAGTATTATTGCCATACAAAGAGACATTTGGTTACAAACAGAGCAGATGCAAGTGCTTACAGCCAGGCAGTGAACAGGTGTGCAAGGGAGCAACAAGATCAGTATGAGCAAAGACAGAGTCCAGCAGAGCAACCAAGAAGTGCTCCAAGCAAGCGACAAGATGAACAGAGCAGCACAAGGTCAAGCTGAGCAACAGAGATGGGTCCAAGAGCGTCAAGAGAGTGGCTAATGATGTGAGAATGAACATGAAACATCAGCTGCGTGACATGAAAAGAAAATAATTGAAACCTTTCAATGCTCCCATTTCTTTTTTATGATAGTTTTTTCCTGGGGGGTGGCTGGTGTCTGCGACAAAACAGCTGGCCTGTGATCAGCATCCCTCTTGGTCTCAGTAAGTTTTGGGGATCTCTCAGGCACGGGTTTGGGCTCTGAGACCAATGAGTCATTGTCCAATGTGGCGACAACAGCCTTGGAGGTAGATGCACGAGCAGCATTGGATGGTGGGCTGTTCGACCATAAAGAACATGCAATGCCCTTACGTTTGAATATGAGAAGCAGCTGGTGAATGCTATAAGTGACAAGGGTATATACTGCTGGTTTCCGTGATTGTTCGGCCTTGGCACCATTGTCCTTGTGTTTCTGGTGCGCTTAGAGATGGGAGGCTCAAGGTTACGCACTCGGGGAGGGCTTTTGTTGATTTTTCTGCTGGGTATGGTGGTTTTGGAGTGGTCTGCCGCCTCATTGTTGCTGTCCTTGTCCTTGTCCTTGTATTTGGAAGGCAGGTGAGGTGCACATGACTTGACAATGTTTTGAGGGATGGGAGGGTGAGGTGGGTCCACCTTCACATGGAGGCAAGCTGGGACCTTGATAGTGTTGATAGCCAGGTCTGATCAACAAGGTGGAGGCTGGGGCACCTCATCCAAGTCCTTTGAGCTGCCATATGTGCGTGATGCCCGCTGGGATGGTGAATGAGCAGCAGGGACTTGCGAGGGAGAAGAGCATGGCACCTGTGGTGGAGGCAGGCAAGCAGTGTGGGAGTGAGAGGGCACCTGCAGCGGCGAGCAAGCAGCCTGGGAGTGAGAAGGTGATGAATGTGATGCTCTCTGAGTTGGCAAAGGTGAGTGAGGCACCTGGGAGTGAAACAGTGACAAGTGTGGTGCTTGCTGCGGCAGAGGCAAATGACCAGTGCGCGAGCAAGATGGCAACAAACATGACTCTTTTTGGTGAGTCAGCAAAAGCGAGTGAGGTACCCGGGAACGGGATAATGAAGAACGTGATGCCCTGGGCCCTGGCAAAGTTGAGGGTGGTGCACGAGAGCAAGGGGGTGATGCATGGGGTGCTTGCAGAGGTGAACAACCAATGTGGGAGCGAGAGGGTGACAAACATGGCTCCCTTTGGTGAGTCAGCGAAGGCGAGTGTGGTGCCCGGGGATGGGATGGCAAAGAACACGACACCTCAGGCCCCAGCAAAGGTGAGTGTGGTGCCCGGGAGCAAGGTGGCAATGAGCGAGGTGCTTGTGGAGGCGAACAACCAGCACGGGAGCAAGAGGGCAATGAATGCGACACTCTTGGCAAAAGTGAACGAGGTGCGCAGGAGCAAAGGGGCAATGACTGCAGGACTGGTAGAGGCAAATGAGCAGCACAGAAGCGAGAGGGCAATGAACACGACTCTCTCCGAGTTGGTGATGGTGAACAAGGTGTCCGGGCACAAGGCGGCGATGAATGTGACACTCTTGGCAAATGCGAACAAGGTGTGTGGGAGCGGGCTCGAGATGAGCTGGGGCCACCTGAGTGGGTGGCACACGAACAAGACGAGGTAGACTCAGATGGAAGGGGTATATCAACCTATGGACATGTTGTAGCACATCCGATCGCAAAAGATCCATAACATAAAACCTAAACTCACCTCCGAGCATCAGGAACCTTACAGCTGACTGGTCGGAGCTTGAACAAGCCTTGTACAAACCCCGAAAGTCTGGACAGGCCGAAAGCCGACCAGAAAGTAAGAAAATTTGAAAAGTTTTCTCTCAAAACATGATTAAATCAGTGACATGTCACATAAATAACGCATGTCACTGAGTAGCCGAGTCCACTTGAATAGACATTCCCGTGCAATTCCCTGGTTCAAAAATGCCTCATTGCAGGAAGAACTAATGGTTAGTGTACACAGCCGCCTTGTGGCTAAAAACTGACCTCAAAGTTACATAGAACGTGATTTTATGCATGGGTGTGACATTGTGTGACTGGGCAATCTTTTGCCAAGACTCACAAGTTGCCAAGATGCTGAGGATGTTACTGATGAGAGATCATTGTTGATATCACCTATGCCTGCCTGAAGACCATCGTACAAGTTCTCCAGATCAAGTCCTATACCACCCTCCTCAGTGTTGACGTCTCGCTCGCTAGTCTTGAGTCTCAACTGGTCCCCATCCAGTTCAGTCTCTGCAGTGCACTTTTCAGCTGCCCTGGTTCATGCTTGAGCATACCCAACAGCAAAGTCATCATTGAAGTTGTTATTGTCCCTATGTAATGTGGCCTTGGACCGCTTCCTGCCCTCAGGATGGCCAAAAACCTCCCTGGAGAGGCAATTAGGGGCAATCAAATAAAAAACCCGGAAGGACTCACCTATTGAGCTTCCGTAGCAGCTTATTGACTGCATCCTTGTTGACAGGGTGTCATAGAAACTCTAAGAGCTTCCTATGCATGAGCTCCCAGTTGTAATCTCCATCTTGGGCAGGCCATCGGCTTACACTTGACATGGCGGAGTGAATCTATATCCCTATGTCAGCAAAAAGCTACAAAACACCAAAAAATGACTACTTACCCCAAGCATGACATACGACAGGTGTTCCGGCATGACCTTGTGGGTTACCATCAATGCACAGTTGCTACAAACATCAGGGGGGACAGGTTTTGATTTGAGAGTGGCAGATGGTCCAATAAGGAGGTGCTTTAAGAACTTGTATGTATGGTATGAGTTAGTCAACATTGGAAGAATGAACAACAATCAACTCACTCGAGTAACAATAAATCCTAAGCCAAACCCACCTATAACATTCTTTTGGTCATAACTAGCACCCGGAGGTTTACCCTTGTACATGAATGCTGGAATTCCAGATGCGTTCACTGGAATATCACCTTGAGCCTCTGCCATTGCTTTGCAATGTCTATTTTAGAAAACCATCAGTAAGCAATTGTAATAAGAGAGTGAGTGTGTATACTTGGCTGGGTTTTCTTTGTAAAGGGTAATGTATTTTGCGGGAACAAGGAGACGTGCAAGCTGCCTATGGTTGAAGCCCATCCGTTCACGTGGTGTCTTATCATTGATAAACGGCAAAAGCGGGTATTCAAGATCTTCAGCAGCGTACTGACCAATGACAGCCTTCCAGCCATTATAGTCATTGGATCTCGTGCGCTGGACCATGGTCTGAATCTATGAACAACAAAAAATTAGCAAGTATTGAGGCATATACAGAGAAAAACTCACATATTGAGTGTGTTCTGTGAGCTCAGAAACCTTCTTGGGGTTCGTGAAGAGACCATAGACATAAGAGAAGTGTTCTTTGATGAGCTCGAACAGGTCTGAGTGCCATTTGAGCTCACCCTCACTCCTGATAGGATGCATATAGTCAGCATTACGGACTAAGATAATGAGTAGAGTGCTTACATTCTGCATACTTCTTCTTTGAGGTCTGAACTCAAAGCCCCTAACGTGCTGCTATCCTTGAGGGAGGTATAGACAGCAACCTGGAAGGCCTGGTTGACATTGCATAGGACACCACCAGTGCGGCCCATCCACCGGCCGACTTGGAGACACTGGTTTGTTGACTACAACCATTTGTAAATGAGTCCGTATAATTTCATGATACCACTTATGGAAGTATCTTGGGCTTGCCCATTTGAGCTTGCTTTTCCTTCTCTTTTGTTGTCTTGGTGGGCAGGTCATCTTGGCGGCGAGAGGTCATGGTTTTGGAGCAATGGCCATGGCCTGACTTCAAGCCAGAGCCAGAAGGAGGCTCAGCTGGGGTTACTTTACGTTTTTTGGATGGAGGGGGCTCAGGAGATGAGGAGGAGGAGCGGGAAGCAGATGGGGATGGGGAGGGCAACAGGGCATGATGTGGTCAAAGATAAAGAAGGAAGTGTGAGTCTGAATGAGTGTTGAGCGCGTCTGCAGGCATGTGACGCAAGACCCTGTTTTGAACAATGATACCCCTTATATAATTAAAACATCTACTTTTGGATGTTGCAGAACAGCACCACTACTAAATATAGTTCCGTTGGCTTCTTTGCGTGCAATAAGGCTGCACACCATTGGCACGCTGCTCATTTGCAATCCAAAAGTCCCTTGCCTACTTTTCCTTTATGCACCACTGCTTGAAAGAGTGCAGGTTGCGTTTTGGCTCCAAGCGAGCCCTCAATGTTCACCGTTGTACATGTGAACATGTACAAAAATCATGAACTGAGTTCTACAAAGCTGCAGCAGCAGTAAACTTCCCATTGCTTCCAGAATGCGAAAGTGCTGGACTTTCTGAGATACCTGAGTCTCTAATTGTACCTGAGGACAAAGATTTTAGTATGAGGGATCCAGATCCTGAGCCGGTATGCTAATTGTTTATGCTGATATTCCATGTTAATCTCTATGGCTGCTCAATAGGTGCATAACTTGACACAGGCTGGACAATCTGTTAGTCTGCCTGCATGGTTCCAAGACTTTTATCCAAGCATTCAGAGACATTCCTTCTCCTCTCCTGCTCCCTCTATATCCCCAAATTGCTCACCTTCTCCTTCACACACTCATTCTGCAGTGCCCATACCCAAATTCACTACAACACCCACCAACTTTGGTTTATATTGTGTATATCCCTCCATGCCAACATATGACCCTCCAGACACATTCCAGCTCATCTCTGATTCCCCTCTACTCCAGAAAGAGATACCTAAGCAGCCAACCTTCGACCTTCTAGATCGCTTAGGCAAACCTCAGCCTGCAGACCTTAATTCAGCTGAAGTCATGGCACCATTTTCTAGCCCCTCGGCTGGAATACTCATGGCTTATGGCGAGGCTGGCACTGGCCAGAAGTCTGAAAGTGATCTAAAGTGGTTGGGCTCAGTACTCATTCAGCACCCACTGTTCAAGCCAGAAGAGCTTTCTGGCTTTGATCCAGCTGCAGAGAAATGTCATCTTGACAGGTTTTTACAGACAAAAGACAATGCCTTTCGCAAGGAGCATGGCTGGTACAAGTCTTCTCTCGAGATTCTCCTTCCATTTAAAGGCCATGCACGTGTTGGAGGCAAGGATAATGCTCCCAAGCTGACGGTGGACTTTTTTCATTGAAAAATCTCCGACATCATTGAATCAGCTCTTGGAGACTTAGTGTTTGCCACATATAACACCACCCCTTTTGAGCAGTGCTGGAAGTCAGCAGATGGTCAAGATCTCCGGGTTTACTCAAAGCTATACAGCTCTGACGCTGTTCTGAAGGTATACCATGAAGTTAATGGTGTAGCAAACTCTGCTGATAATGATTACGAGCGCATTGTTGTCCCAATCATGCTCTCATCCGATGCGACACTTCTCTCAAACTTTGGTGATGCCAGTATAGGGCCCATCTACTTGTTTATTGGGAACAAATCTAATTATGCAAAATATATAACTGATTTTGTAGCTGAAATGGCAAAATTCAAACAT